CCAAGATCATGTGCAATTTCCATAATACTTTTTCTTGTCACTCCTTCAAGAATAGTTCCACTTGTTGTTGGAGTTGAAAGGATATTTCCCTATGAATATATACGGTTTTTCAATATCTATAATCAACACGTAGATATTCAAAAATTATATGAAAAGTATAATAAGTTATAATTTATTCATAATACGTACGTACAAAGAAAGAATGTATTTTAAAGGGAAAAGGGTTCGAAATATATCCAAACTTTGACCGAAATTGCTGTAACAATCTCATACTTTGGGCAGGACCTATTATCCCTGCACTATTTAATAGTGTATTTTAAAGATATATAGGTGTTCACGTGGACATCATAAATATTGCATCATTATAAATAGTAACATGTCCAGCTGAACACTTATATATCTTTAAAATACACTATTAAATAGTGCATGGGGTAATAGGTCCTTCCCAAAGTTTGGAATTAATACAACAATTTCGGTCAGAGTTCGGATATATTTCAAGACATTTTCCCCTATTTTAAAGTATTAGTCAAAGTTTGATTCTCGAGAAACGAAAATTAACTGATCATGTGATAATTAATGTTAGGAATATGTACCTTCACTAGGAAAATGTTACAAGAAGAGACCTCTTCAATGTATTTCTTATTTATAGAGTCAAGGTATAATACATCTGAGAATCCTTTGTCTTTTGCACTTTTTATGGCTCTTAAAACCTGCACATATTACATAACATTATCTCAAATATATAATCTTTGTCTCAGTTTATGTGAACATGTTTGGAGTACGAGAATCAAAGCATTCAATTACATAGGGTGTGAATTGAGCCACATGTTCTTTAGTAGTTTGACTTAGTAATATTAGTGTCGCATATAATAGGACAGATGAAGTTTGAAGGAAACTATTTTTTACCGGGGCATAATTAGTAATGCTTTTGACACCTCCAACTCCACCACGCGAGGCGCGATGAAGGTCTTCCTCAACGTACAAGTTCAATGACGATGTCCCTTCCTACATGAAACTCACAAAAAATGTTACTAGAAATAAAAATAGTGGATGCAGGTGCACCCATTGCTTTCAGATCGAACTATATTTATCATATATTTGAAAAACTTGACTAACCTTGAAATAATTTCCAACAGGACAAGCATAGACAAGGAAAGTGTACTCTGGTGCTGGAGCCAAACCAAGAATTGGTCCACTTCCTATAAGCAAAGGCCTTATATAAAGAGACCCTTTTCCATGAGGAGGAATCTACACTTATTCAATAAATAAATAAATAAACAACTTTATTAAATAGTAATTCCAAAATAAATCTAAAGAGCTATCAAAAAATAAAAATAAATGAAATTAGCTACAAGTTTTGTGGCTAATCTGTCATTAAATAGCTCATAACTACAACCTTATTGAACAAGATATATGTTCAATAGGCTCGTAGCAATGTATCCCAGAGACACAACTAGATTTTTCACTAAGGGGTTCAAAATATGAAGAGGTACACATGAAGAAATCACAGGGTGTCTAACGATATATATACATAAAAAGTAATTTTTAAACATATATATAAATAACATAATTTTCGACCAAATGAGTTTCAGATGAACTTCTCGACCCTACCTGTCTCTACCTGTTGTATCCTTGAGAGACAAGGAAAACAAATCTAGTAGATGAACTATGGCCAAGTGACTAGAGTCAGAGGCAGAGTCGAGATTTGAATCATATCAATTCAAGATTTTAGCCCTTTTGAATTACTAAATTCTAAATTACAATAATTTATGCATATTACGTAAATTTCTCAAGACAATTACAAGAATTTATCCAAAATTACTTAAAATTCTACCTAATCCACTTTCTACACTCTAGCTCCACCCCCGACTACAACATGATTAACGGTCCCATGGCCCTCTAAGTGGGGTCATAAGAAACAACAAAACAAAAAAGCCCCTATCTAACATGATTCTTTGATAAACCCCGCAACATAAGTTGTATGTTACTAATTTCTTGTTTTATTTTTATTTTTTGTAGAGTAAAATATAAAGCTTGAAGTAAAAGAAAAATTACAAAACGTTTATTAGCCAGAGCAGTTTGTTTCACAGCATCCAAAAATTGATCAATTGAAGGACAAGGCATGCACATTCTTTCAGCACCAATTTGCATTCTAATTGCATTTTGGTTAGGACGAAATAGAAATAAACGTCCATCATCTCTTCTATATGCTTTTGTACCTTCAAAAATACCCTGTTTTAATGAAATTTACGTCAATAAAATCCGTCACTAATTCTATTTCACGGTATATTATCATAATTTAGCGACAGATTAACGACGAAATACCTGTCCATAGTTTAACACACCAGCTGAGGGACTTAATTGGATATTGCCGTAGGGATTAAGTTGGCCTTGTTTGAAATGACCATTTTCACAACTTTTTGTTTGGTACATAAAATCAGTTGGCATTAAATTAAACCCAAGATTCTCCCAATCAATGTCAATATTGGACTCATCATCACTAACATCAATTAAAAAAAAAAAAATTGTCAAAATTAGTGATTTTTTTTCAACAATTATATATATGTTATTTCCTCTAAAATGCATAAAAAAAAATCAAATGTAACATACCTTTGTACTACTATAGTTTGTATAAAAGTTGTGGCTTGAGCTGTAGAGTACCTAGCTCCAAACTAAAATCACAATAATCACAAATCTCTAGTCAGCTCGATATACGTATTTTCACTGTTTCTGACTTGAGCTATGTACAATTAATAACGTTCATACCAATTATCACAATGAATTAGCATGTTTGGTCAAATATTTAACACAAAAATACGATGACTAACCTTTGATGGTAGAGAAGAAGATTCAATTAATTTGTGAAAAAATGCAGCTCTTTGAATCATGTTTAATTGCAGAAGAAGAATACAAGAAGGATGTAAATGTCAAAGTAGATATATATAGGAAAGATCTAATAATTTTGAAAAAAATAAAGCAATTCTATATATAGAATATTGGAAAAGAAAAAAACAAAAAAGGCCAAAATATGGGGAAAACTTTATGTTTAAGGATAGTACAATCCCATGAGGACATCGCGTGTATTTTAATTTATTGATTTGATGTAAATATGAATAAAAAAAATTTTGGATTTTTATGCAAAAAGTCGATCGAATTATACTCGCAAGATATATTAATATGCATTTATTATATATTTATCAACTAATTTTTAATATATAGTTTTATCAACCTATGTTTTGTGTGGTATCAAGGGAAAGAAAAAGGGTTGAATTGCAAAATATTCTTATACTTCTACTGTTTCTTTTTATATGATTTTGTTTGACTAGACATAAAATTTAAAGAAAATTTGTAGTTGAATATAGAGCTCTTGAATAAATCATAATATTTGTGGGTAAGACTTTTAAAATTAAACTTGTACTTCATTATATGTCTCCAAATATACATTCTAAAAGTTGGAGTATTACTTACCTACCAACTGAGGTTGAATTTCAGTGTCTGTTTATATATTATGTCTAATAATATTTCTAAAATCACAAAATAATATTTCTTCCGTCTCAATTTATGTACCACAATTCAATTTTTTCTATTTTGATTGTGATTTCAGACCTACAATTTTATTTTATTTTTGAAACAATTTACGTATTTAAAACAATATAATAAGTAATCAAAGATCTCGATTTCGAGTCCACGGAAAAATTCTTAGTAGATAGCACTACCTCATACAAATCTAAATTAATCAGACTACAAAATGAATATCAGACATCAAAGAAAAAATCAATTCTCGAAAAAAAGGGAAAAAGTTTTCTAGATCTAGAATAGAATATGATGCAGATCTTCACGTTGTGGAGATAAAATCCTAGCATTAATTATTAGTGTAGTAGATATAAATACATTAGGGTTCATTTTGAGAAATTTTCATATTCATTATAGGCTAGGCTAGGTAAAAGTAAGTAGAAATTTTTGTCAAATAATTTGCCCATTCTTTTGTCGATAAAAACAAGTGACAATAAGTATTAAAATCTCAAATAAAACTATACATTGAACAAAGATAATAGTACTAATAATGTGTTTTAGGAAACTTACCATTTTTGATATTATGTTCATTATTATTAGTAACATTGTTAGCAATTGCTATTAATTTAACTTCTAAAAATACAACCAGGCTATTTTTATTTTTATTGTACTTTTCTTTTTGTCTTTTTCTGCATTTAAAGATTGAGTTTTGACCGTAAGATATTACTTATTCATTTCATTTTACTTGATTCTCATAATAAATATAGATATTTCATTTTACTTGTTCATTTTTACAAATCAAGAGAGTTTTGATGCCTTTTTCATACTATTTTTAATACTAAATAACTACATATAATAGTAGCCAAATTTAGAGTTTGAAAACAACATAAATAAGATTAGTTTAGTAAAATACACCTCTAATAAAAATTATGTTAAGGAATATGTCAGGTCAAGAGGGGCCGAATAATATTAAATGAAGGGAGTATATGGTTTCTTTTTTGTTTCCAATTCGGTGTTTTGTATTATTTGAATTCGCGTCGAAAAGTCCAGGGTAACATATTCTCCAACAAAAGCGACTCCATATCCGAAGCCATGGTGGAGCATAAGCTAAAAGGTATCAAATGACATTAGCCTCTTCGTCGAAAAATTACACTATTTAGCTAGATTAAAATTTTAATTTATATTTATATTGTCTCCACTAATTTTTTACGAGTTTCTCTCATTTTTTATAATTTGACACCTTTTATTAACATTTCTAAATTAGCCATTGTCTCATGCTTGAATTGAAATGTCGCTAGATAGAATTAACAACGAATTTTGCATATTATTTAGTTATAAAATTTGTCCATCGCTAAATTTTTTTTGATTTAATAGTGTGATCGAAACACACTTCAAAAATCAAAACTAATATAAACATATGGAATTATTCTTTGTTTATTCATTTGAAATGATACAAGATAAACAAATCACATTTTTGTACATATAATCTATTATTCAACTTCACACAATCATACTATAAGGCCATTTATGAGTCAAAAACTCAACTCAAAATCAGTACTATATATCAATGGAGATAACTAGTGCATCATCACCCTTGTCAACGACGAACGTCTTGGTAATTTTCATGGAAGCAGTAACGAGATCTACCTCATACGAGCCATGGAATCCTCGAAAGCTGAATTGACCTTGGTCATCGATATGGCCATGAGCATGGGATAACCATTCTTGCTTAAGAGCAAGGTATCGTTTTCCAGCTTCGTTGAGCTCACCTTCTGCATTCACTAAATGTGCATTTTCTCGACTCATGAACAGCTCCCAGAATCCCCACAGTATTACACCTTCCACAGCAGGGTGAGCAAAAGATTCTCGAAGAATGACTTCTAAATCATCAGCTCTAACGTGTTCGTTATTAGAAGAGACATCAACTTCAGTAAACCAGATTGGAAGTCCAAGAATGCTCAGTTTATCAAGAGCTGAACAGACAATCGGTCCAACTGGACAATCGATGTGTCCCTGAATACCTATTCCTCCAACTGGTGCACCCTGATCTTGGAGGTCAAGAATATGCTCGATGTACTTTTCAGGGGATGACCGAGTGTCACAGCCATCCTCAACATGGTAGTCATTTACAAATAAGATCGCGGAAGGATCCAATTGGTGTGCTTTTTTGAACATATTTGCCCAGATGTCTTTACCTAACCGTTCTTGGTAGTAAGAACCATGCATCATCTCGTTATTCACATCATAATGTTTGAACTTCCCCTTGTAACGTGTAAGCAGACCCGATAGACGGTTTTGAAGAGCTGTTGTCAAGTCATTGTTGTTCAACGAGCGTATCCATTCTTGAACAGTGGACTCCACCTCCCAAAATATACAGTGTCCACGAACTTGAATGTTGTGTCTTAAGCAAAAGTCTAGGAGCTCGTCTGCATCTCTGTAATTGAATTTTCCTCGCTGTGCCTCGGTACTGTACCACTTCAGCTCGTTTCCAAAGACGGCCCAATTGAAGTTCTTGACAAAGAAATCATTGAAGTCTTCATTGTCCATGTTTGTTCTGCAAATGCACGATCCGAAGGGGAAACTGTTTTGCTGTTGTCTAACTCTAACAGACATGCCATGCAAACTGACCGAGTCTGATCCAGAGAACTTCAAGATGACATCTCGCTTGCGTATCTGAGAAAGAAATATATATTTTTTCAGATGCATAACTGATCATATCTGAAAAATCTATGCATTTTACATGCTGCCAACCTAATGAAGCGAATTCTGAAAGAACAGCCATTTGATCTCGAAACACATACCAAAACACTAACACTGATCTCGTAAATGTTTGATGAGCTGTTTTAAATCATATTATTGCAACAACATTTATTTAACTCACATGAAAAGGAAGAATCTAAGAAAACAATATATGCAATTAGTTTCATCGGAAATTGCTTAACAAAGACTTTGTCACAAGTAACACCATTCTTTTTTCTTTCTAATGTCGGAGCTTCTGTGCAGCAATCAGTAAAATGTCACAAATCTGCTTTCAGACGTAGTCTTGGAAACAGTACACAAGCATTTAGAAGAACCTTACAGGACCTAAAGATCGTAATGCTGGAATGACAATTGAAAATACAAAAAGGAATATTCAGATATTACCTTCTCCGTCTGTCTCTTCAAGTGGTTAAATCTTGCATGTCTGTCAACTGGAAAAATGTGAAGTCCAGCTACCATTAGGTCAACCCCAGCACCAGGACCCTGAACATACACCATCACTTTAGCTGCTTGCTTCTCAATTCTAAAAGATCCTCCAATTTCGTGCCATTGATCATCGCTGACCTCAACTTGGCCCCCATTAACCCATTGGTCGTCTACACCAAGGGCCACGCTTACATTCTGAGGGCCTGATGCATGTCTGACTTTAACCCATGCAGATACTTGGTATGTCAAATAGAGTTTAACTTTATCTGTGATCACCTGAGCAGGACCCATCCATGGCTCGGTACGATTAGTCACTGCAATACAATGACCACTTAAATTCTCATGAGAACCAAGGGAATCTCTAGCCATTGGAGGAATTATATGTGGTGAGCCTGTTTGAACACTCATTCTGCAATTGCCTAGCGGAAACCAGCCATTTGTGCCATTATTCAGATGGGTGTTTGTGATTATATTAACACCAAAAACTGCATTCTGAAAGACCAAGAAAAAGTGAAAGAATGCTTCAAATGCTATATGGCTGTGAACTATGGATCCGGAGAGACATGAAACATTAAGTGTTAAACTGAGAGACACTTTCTAGTGGCAGCTAGCTAGCATAAGATGCATAACACAATACTTCCTAAGGCCTTTACGCCCATACCATTGCTAAAAAGAAAAGAAAAGAAAAAATGATGAACTGACTAACCACAACAACTGGTGGAGGAGGAGGAGGAAGTTTAACTGCGTGATTTACAACTAAATTATTGAGGAGGATATCCGTGCCTGGAGGTGGACCTTCTAAAAAGATAACAGCTTTAGATGGAGAGTCATTTAGAAGAAACTTTCCTTGCAACTGCACCCAATCTTTGTCTGTGGCTTGGACTCTGCAGACCACTAGCTTTCGTTAAGCCACTTCATAAGAAACTTCAATATGCAGCTTAATTGAAAAAACAGGGAGGAGAAGATAACTTATCAAGACAAACCACCAGATATCTATTATGTTGGTGCACTTCAATTAGCTTATACCAAAATTGATTCCAAGAGTGTGAAGAAAAATTAATGTCAAGAGATAATTATCTAGTGATTTTCCTTCCACGGAAAATCATCAAACTCTATACAAAATAAACCTGAAGTTACAGCAGTGCTCCTTCTAGTGATTGCTAATACGGTAGAGAAATGATTATCCACACACAATTCAGAAGAAACAACCAGTTACTATCAGAAATTCCTTAATGTTGCTAAGGCGATTATAATGACTAAAGAGTCTGAGACTACAACAACAACTTACCCAATGCAATCCCACAGAGTAGGGCTTATATTGACTAAGACTACAATATATAAAATGTTATAAATGTGAAGAAAGGGCTGGTCGAGTCATATAAAATTTTATAGATGTGAAGAAAGGGTATAGGTTGGTAAAATATTGTATATAGTGTGGGTGCTTTCCAAGAACAGAGAGAAATCTAGTTAATGAAAAGACATGTTACATTACATAAGTGGAACTTGGATTAACTTACTTGGCAATTCCTATATACTGTTCATGGTTATCAGCTGCTTGAACCCACAATGTTCCCCGAACATCTGCACTATTGGCATTGTGACCATATAGACGAACAATAGCAGTCATCTCATATGCAAGCTTTCGCTTTATTCTCCCGGTTATATCTTGTTGAATCCCATTCCAGCTCTGTGTGCGCTCTGTTGCAGATGCGAAGTACTTTCCAGAGGTTGGATTGATATTTGCATCTGCCATACAGTCATGGCAAACAACCTTGCAGCCTCTTCCAGACCAACTATTCAGGCTGTAATCAAAATTTGCATTTACTATGATCTCCTCATCATCAATACAACTGGATGTTGGCCTAGAACTCTATCAGAATAAAGGTAAGAGTGCTTTCAGTAATAGAGCAGATAGTCTAAGCTGTTGTAATCAACAAAAAACCAACACAAGTCGTAAGTGGGACTTCCATTGTTAGTTTTGTCTGGAGAAATAACTTACTTCATAATCAGTGCAACCGGGGGAAGTGATGATCACTGATTTTATGAGCAGGTCAGATCCAGGTGAAGGTCCCTCGAGATAAAAGATAACTTGATCGGGCTTAGTTGACAGTGAAAATGAACCTTCCAACATATGCCAACCCTCCCCCGTAACAGATTTTCTACATGGAGTAAGGTGCTTACGTTATAGATGTTTCATAAACAATAAAAAGTAATAATGAGGATAAAGATAGAGACTAACTTTGAAATAAATAAATAGTCTCTATCTGCATTTTGGTAAACAAGTCTCAACGTAGCCAGGACGTCAGTAGAACCATGAAAAGTACCAGAGACTCCAACACAAGCAGAAACTGTGTAGTCACAACCAGCTGAAATTCTACTTGTAATATCTTGCTCCAAGCCTTGCCAACATTCCGTGCGATTCGTGACAACAGCATAAGAACAGCCTACATCTTCTGCAGTTCCTTTATAGTTACCAGAACCCGCTGGAACCACAAAAGCATTGCAGCAATTGGTGCGCCACAAGTGCAACTCCTCCAAGAAGTCATGGTTAAGGATGACATTAATAGCGTCATAGCTGCCGGTGTTTTCCCTATTTTCCTTTGGGCTCTGTCAAGAAAATATAATCTTCGTAAATGCACTCAAAGAGAAGTGACAACAAAAATCGCATGCATCCTAATAAAGTACAGATTTGGTATGCAAGACTCATAAGAAACATAGCAATATTAGAAGAGCAAAGACATTGCTCCGAGGTCAAATCAAACCACGTAGAAACCATGCCTGCTTCTAAATCTTCTAATACATAGTATTTTTTTCTGATACACACCTAATAGCCTGTGTCAGCTTGTTCTGATCCAGCTTTTGGAAACAATTTGATTTTCATTGTTTTCCCAAGGCATATTCAGCAGTTCTTTACATTATGAAATTTTACTCATACTAAGTTTCTTCAGAATTCCTTACTTGAATGCCATATACCCTTGCATCAACAACTATCGATTCGGTTTATCCTAAATTTTTTCTTCCAAATATGTTTTGTTTCTCATAAACTAATCTCTCCTTTAAACAAAAGGATTCAATCAACATTACTTCCACAACAACCAAAAAAGGCAAGTAATAATACATGAAAGAAGAGTAGCCCAAAATATTTCGTTAATTATCTCATCTAAAAGCTTAAGTTGTCCGTGCCCACACTTTCATTTACTCAATTATATTCTCAAAATACCCTTTCATGTGAGATTCCATCTAGGTTTCAAGTGCTCGATACCAAGTTAAAGTGTGCAGTCATCTCTAAAAGAACACATTTTTATTTACTTAATTATTTTCTCAAACATCCATTTTTTCATTTTTGGTTAAGATGGAAGTTGACCCACAAGAAAAAATTGAAGTTCTTGATAAACCCCAATTCAGCAAATGTACAATAACCCCATTATAGAACAAAATTCAAAACCCCCCAATTGATTACCCAAAATCATTTTTTTTTAACAAAAAATCAATTTTTGGTTCAATTTAGATTGGAGAAAGCAAGAACATTACAGAGTACCTGTGAATTGGATTTGAAGATTCGACGTGCAAAGCTACTAGCAGAGAGACCTTTCATTTCTAAGAAAAAAAATTGTTTTTCTTTTTTTTGTGTTTTGTTTTTTCAGCTGTCTTCACTATTAGTCAAAATCTGGATGCAACCTTGTACCAACTTTTTTTTTTTTTTTTTAAAATTTCCCACTTAGTGTCCGCTATATTAATTAGAACCTCGATTAATCCATATTGATATGCCATAAGATTGTTAAAATAGAAGTACAAATTCATTCATCTTTCCATTCCTATGATTCGAACTCTATTCATCTCATTATAATCGTGGCATAATACATAAACATGTCGTTTAACTTTGTGTGTGCACAAATAGACACTAAAACTTGTATAAAGTTGAACTAATTTGTAGGATGTGTGTCTACATGTTCAACTTTATACAAGTTTAAATGCATACTTGTGCACACCCAAAGTTAGGGACTAGTTAAAAGAACATATTTACCATTATGGGTATGATCATTGTTAACTTTTGATTAAGTTTTGTGGGAATTTGAGATTATACTTCTAATCTCTATGTTCAAGAAAAATGTGGTTGTAAAAATATGTGAGGTTAGCAAGCATAGTTACTCAAACAATTCTTGTTATTGTTGTTCTATGTAAGGATCAAAGATTTTTTAGTTCTCCAAAAGAAGATTAGAAAAGAGCAAAAAGGTACACAATGCACATATATATATACAAGGTGGCAGCAAAAAGTTTGGTACTTTATGTACACACACATTTACTTTCCAGCAAAACATTTACCAGGAACTCAAATTACTCTTGTTAACCCAAAGGAGGAATAAAATGGCCAAAACTATTAAACAAACAAACAAAGATTGGAGTCAAGGCTTTGTTGCTAGAATTGTGTAACTGTGTTCTTCAGCCAGAAGTCATTTCAGACATTTGATGGAACTTCTTTCGTGCTTCTCCGCCCGCGTCTTCTAATATTAGCTTTTAGTTTCTGCACTTTTATGAGTTTTCTCCTTGCTTGTATTGACTGGATTATATCCTCTTCTTCTCTTCTATAGTATAGACAAGTTATATACAGGACGGATTTTCTTGTTATTTCTGCTTCATAAGGCTCAGGAGAAAATCTGTAAATATGTGTTCATATTCTGGCATTTTTCCGTACCCTGAAGTTTATATAAGAAAAAGATATTTCATTACCATTGGTTCCGAGGGAAATGAAGAGTTTTTCTTTCGAACTGTGGTGAATGATAAGGTACGTCTACTGATGAAAGCATAACTTACCAGGAAAGTAGTTGATATCTATCACGTAATAACAGTCTTTGGTCCCGTGCTCTCGAATTATATCCAAGTTGAAGAGCCTGAGACCCTGCATGACACATTGCAAGAGAAATTTAAAATAACATGTTATGAAGCTGCAGAACAAGAACAGGCAAGAAGATAGAGCATGTAGCTCATTCCCTTCCGATCATAATTTATTAAGGAAAAAGAGAGAAAATGAACAGAAAATACCAGTCTACGACGAAGTTCCCTCGCAAGCCTCTCAAGTAATGGCCGCGGAGGAAGCTCTGCAGAGGATGATTATGAATTAGTTAACACCATATTGGTGATAAAAGCACCCGACAGCATGCAAAACCACAGAAAATTAAGGTCTTCAGACAGAGAAAGGCCTTGTATTGGCAAAAGTGAAATAGCAGATCAATGGTCCTATCGACAACTGTGATGTTGAATATTTTAGATCTAGGTGACAAGAGTGGCCAATAGCTTGATCAGTTTAAGGGAAAATTCTGCAAGTGTGCAAAGACTGATTCTTGTGCATTCTGATGTTTGTGTATATTTATTAAATATTCAAATCGCTCACTTCAGATATGTCTTGCTAGAACCTCAAAGTGGATTACCTTAAAATCTTTCTCAAATCAAAGCAAAAAGGAGCTTACAAAGAAGAAACAAACATTTCCAATCAAAGCAAAGAGGAGAATAAAAAGAATAAACAATAAAGTGGGAGGATGGAGTGTAACGGAAGGCCAATTTACAAAATTATTATACCACTGTTCAAGTTTATATTGAGAAGACTAGGACAGATTAAACTTTCAGGAGAGAAGTGAGGAAGTAGCTCTAAAGTACTAGGATACTATGAACAGCATCAATAACCTTAATCAATCACATCCTTGCTTAGTCTTGGCGATCTATAGCCGGAAAAAAAATAGATGATAATTTTATCAAATGGACGAAGAATCATTGAAGTCTTCCCACTTGTCTGAAAACAAGGAATCAAATGTTTAAGAAACTTTATATGATATATCCAACAAAGAGTAAGCCATATCTATAGGTGTCTACATATTAAAAGTGTGCTAGATACATTCTGGTATGTACAACAATGTAACCAAATTCATATAGAAAAGATGGCTTACCACCAACACTAGGATCTAAATCAGCTTCTTCCGCAGATGCTGCAACACACGAAACCCTGGGGAAATGGAAAACCCCAGCATTGTTGGACAGGTCGCGTTTGCTAACATCAGGTAAACTGAAACGCCTGACAACCTTAACGGCTTCCCCAACAATAAAAACCTTAAAGAGTACACCTCCTACAGCCACAAAAATTACAGTATCACCACCTCACTAATTCAATCAAAACTACACACGAAATACACAATTTTAACCTGTAAATGAAATACATACCATGATTGATAAACTCCTGCAGAACAAGTGGGGGTTCAAGCTTCTGAAGAGAGGCCATATCATAGGCCAGAGACAACTCATGTGACTTTGCAACCAAAGGCTTTGCCACTGAGAACACAGAAACAACTCCATTCAGAAAAAAGAACAGCCGCAACAAAAAATATCTATCCCTCTATTGCCCAACAAACAATTATTTGGGTCATATTTAATCCCAAATAAGCAACAACCAAATACAGATATACTTACCAAGAGGTAGTGAAAGACCAGCTTTATCCACTGCATCTGAGATAGACGAAGGATCTTTCTCTATAACCAATTGCCTGGGAACACCTACTTTGCCTGTCAAAAGCAAGTTACTCATCGTTTAAGCATAACAGCTTTATCAAAAGCATTCCAGGAACTGTAAATTGACAATCGTGGTGCATACAACTAATAAACAGACCCCCTTTTTTCCAGAATAACAGCAATTGTATATAGATAATCATAAGTTCATGACAAAAGTCTCGTTGATCATAGAACAAAAGTGGAAAAATTACCATAGCTATCTGACAAGTTCAAGTCTGCGACATCTTCAAGCATGTATTGACGATTATATACCTGCTGTATGGCATCTGGAGGATCAAGGACCGCGACATGTGGATGTGTTTTCCTATAATCCTGTCCATATGAAATTAAGTGCATAGGATAAGAGACAGGGATACTCTATATGTACTCCTTTAGACTAAACTGAAAGGAGGCTTTAACAGAGAAAGCAAATGAACATATTAATATATCAGTTTCCACATTCGCATTCATTATTAATATTCTAACAGAATCAATAACTTCATGATAAAACTAGATATGAACTAACCTCAAGAATACAACTCCACTTGCTTCCTGACAACTGCAAGAGAAGAAGAGCACAAAAAATAAATATAGGTTATTAAGTAACATCTATTAAAAAGTACTAGTACAATATAAACAGGGAAAAATTACCAGACTGATTACTTCCTTGGGAAGAAACTAATAGGATATCTGGGTGTAAATTAACATGAAATACGGACATAAAACAATAAAAATGCACGAAGTAATATGAGGTAGTACAATGAACTAACCTTGTGGAGCACAATGTCAAAAGGACCTTGATCTGAAAGGGGTCTGCTCTGATCTATAGCAACAAACAGTATTCCCTTATTCCTATGTAATGCAGGAGGAGCATGGTTAGACACTTGGTTGCAATGTAAACATGATAAAATCCAGATCAATTTGTATTGATACTAGTGTTAGACCTCAACAAAACAAGTCCATTAAAAAATTAACAAAACAAAATAATAGCATAGTTTAAAAAAATGAATCAGTCGTAAGTGTATTTTTTCAGTGAAGTCTATCAGTATGCTTAACCATTTCTAATTCCAGATAATCCATACTTCCTCACTGACAGTTGTTCAATGAACGTTTTTGTTTTGATAATCCTGGTGTCCTGTTAATTCCACGTGGCACTTGCTATCTCCCACCAGCATATGTACCGGGTAACTCTGCCTACCAAGGCTTGTTCAATGAACATATTAATATCTCTGAACACAGAGCTGGGTATAACCCAATACTACATATTATCTCCTAGCAAGTACAAAAGGTCCAAAAACTTATCCATCACATCTAAAGTGCTGCTATAACACCAATGCATTTATTTTTGATGATCCAAAGTTATTTAGATGCCAAAATTCAGAGGTTAGAAATAATTGAGAAATTCATGGACTCAATGAGATGAGCTGCTCAACTCTCTTAACCCCTCTCCCTACCTCACCCATTCAGAGTTCAAATCCTAAACAAATAAAGAAAACAAAACTAATGACTGCTCTCTTGATATGGTGGTCACAAGAAATAAAAGGAATGTTGACTGAAATATAGATAATCTAAATATCAATCAGCCAATGCCTTAGTCACAAAGTAAACCAAGAACCATCAGATAATGAATGCAATAGCAAGGAATCTGTAATTTTCAAACAAAACCGCATAAACGTGGATCTTAAATTACCCTTACATACACCCCAAAAACAATTTTTACACCTAATGAAAGCAAACATAACAGGCAATATCAAGGGACAATGAGTTCAAGTGGATGAGGTACATTTTGTACATACATACATACACACACACACACAATCCCTATACATACACACATACATCACATATGCGCACACATAGAGAGACATACACACACATGTAAATATATATTAATGTGTATAGTATATTCAAACAGACTATGCTGCTCTGAGTCTGCAAAATGTTGCCATGTGCATGTTGAATCCTCCAAAAGTAGTGTACTTTTTGGAGGATCCGACACAAGTACAGTAACATTTTTGAAGAGTCGGAGCAATACAGATATTTTATATATATAAATATCTACACACACACTAACATACATATACATATATATGAATTCACATGTACACAAGGTCTAAGCCTAAAAAGGGTGATTTCACTGAACCTGCTACAAAGAGCTAAATCCATCAATCAACAAAGCATAGATGCAAAACATTCGAAGATGGGAAACACATGATATTTATAGCATAAATTCTACCTAACCTACAACTTCCTTCTCAGACCATATATTTATGACAAAATATACATACTTAGATTGTGCCTACTTGGAATGCACCTATTCTAAATCACATATACACCTCTGCTTATTAAAATTTCTAACATAAACAACAATGTAAATGCAATTCAACAAATAATCACAAAATTTCTTGAGAGTTCTATCATGATTTACAAAACAGGAAGAAAGAAAAATAGATTAATTACCTAGCTAGACCTACAAGCTTGGGCTGCAAAAAGCTCTTAGTTTTCTTGGATGTAAGAGCATAGCCTACCACCACCAACTTCATCTGTTGCTGGGGAGACCCATGAGCCACCACCATTTCCATTTCCCTTTCCTCTTCCTCTTCTTCTACCTCCCTCTCATACCCCACTACATTTTCACCTCCCATCCTCATCCCTCTAAAAAACACCTTTCTTTTACACCAAAATTTATGTATTTACACCAAATTACTACACAAAATTTCACCCCACACAACCAAAACAATAAAAGATTGAATCTTTTTTCCAAAAAAACTTAACTCCAGATAGCCAAAACCAAGAAAGATTCAATCTTTCTTCAAAAAAACTTAACCCCAGATAACCTAAACCAACAAAGATTGAATCTTTTTTCAAAAACACTTAACCCCAGATAACCAAAATCAAGAAAGATTCAATCTTTCTTCAAGAGAACAAAATCCCAGATAGCCAAAAACAAAAAAAAAAGATTTAATAGTTGGCGTAATCTGAAAGTTGTTTCAAAAGGGCTGAATTCCAAAGAGGGAGAAATGAAAAACAACTGGTTTACACACAGTAACACACTCAAAAACACATATATATGTTTGTATACATCTAGAGAGAGAGAGACACGGCACACACACGAAGAGATATGAACGGTTTGTTTGTAATGTTGTAATGCAACACAAGTGGATGGATGGTGGTCATTTATAGGCACAAGTTTTTGACCAAAATTGGTCCCAAAAAAAGGGATTTTTATAAATAATTACATTGCTTCGGGACACATCCAAAACAATTGTATTTTATTTTATAAAATTACTAGGTATTTTATTTCCGCATATACACGCCCTTTTTCAAGAATCGCTCAAATTTTTTATTTTTCATGTGTATTAGCCCACATATCTAGCGATCTGAGCACCCAAATTTTTTTCTCAAAAAACTTTATGAAGACCTCCGTAATGAGTTGGGGAACCTTCACGTATACTCACACCATTTTTTTAACGTTCATTTCCGCATTTACAAGCCTTATTTTAAGAATCGCAAAAAATTCCTCGATTTTTCGTGTGTATTCGCCCATGGATCTGGCGCCCGAAGCACCCAAAAGTTTTTTCTCAATAAACTTTATGAGGACCTCCGTAATAAGTTGGGGGACCTTCACGGATACTCACACCATTTTTTAAGGCTCATTTCCGCATTTACAAGTCCTTTTTAAAAATCGTCCAAATTCTCAGATTTTTCGTGTGTTAGCTCATGGATGTGGCGCCCGGAAAACCCTAAATTTTTTTCTCAAAAATTTTTATAAGGACCTACGCAATGAGTTCAGGAACATTCACATAAACTCACACCACTTTTACAACGTCCATTTCCATATTTACAAGCTCTTTTTAAAAAATCGCCCAAATTTCCAAATATTTCGTGTGTATTAGCCTAAGGATTTGACACCCGGAGCACACAATTTTTTTTAAAAACACTTTATGAGGACCTCCGTAATGAGTTGGGGAATCTTCATGTATACTCAAACAATTTTTTGACGCCCATTTCCGCATTTACATGCCCCTTTTCAAGATTCGCTCAAATTCTCCGATTTTTCATATATATTGGCCCATGGATCTAGCACTCAGAGCACCAAAAAAAATATTCTTAAGTAACTTTATGAGGACCTATGTTATGAGTTGGGAACCTTCACGTATACTCACCCATTTTTTTTACGCCCATTTCCGCATTTACCAACCTCGTTTTAAGAATCATCCAAATTTCCCGATTATTCGTGTGTATTAGCTCATTGATCTGGCACACGGAGCATCAAAAAAATTTTCTAAAAAAGTTTTATAAGGACCTCTGTAATGAGTTGAGAAATCTTCACGTATACTCACACATTTTTTTGACGCCCATTTCCGCCCAAATTCCCCAATTTTTCGTGTGTATTAGCCAATGGATCTGGCTCCCAGAGCACCTAAAATGTTTTTCTCAAAAAATATTATGAGGACCTCCGTAATGAGTTAGAGCAGTTTCATGTATACTCACACCATTTTTTACCTCAATTTCCACATTTACAAGCCCCTTTTTAAGAATCTCCCAAATTCCTTAATTTTTTGTGTCTTTTAGCCTACTGATTTGGTGCACGGAGCGCCCTAAAAAACATTCTAAAAACTTTTTAAGAGGACGTCAATAATGAGTTGGGGAACTTTCACTTATACTCAGACTATTTTTTACTCCGATTTCCTCATTTACAAGCCTCTTTTAAAGAATCACCCATTCCCTGATTTTTCGTGTATAAATGCCCATGGATCTGGCATCCGAACCACCCAAATTTTTTTCTCAAAAAACTTTATAAGGACCTCCGTAATGAGTTGGGGAAACTTCACGTTTACTCACACCATTTTTTTGACGCATATCTCTGCATTTACGAGCCCCTTTTTAAGAATCGTCAAATTTCCTGATTTTTCGTGTGTATTAGCCCATGGATCTGGCGTCTGGAGCACCCAAAATTTTAATCTCAAAAACCTTCATGAGGACCTTCGTAATTAGTTGGGGAACCTTCACGTATACTCACACCATTTATTTGACGTCCATTTCCGCATTTACCAGCCCCTTTTTAAGAATCGCTCAAATTTCCCAATTTTTCGTGTGTATTACCACATGGATCTAGTGCCAGAGCATCCAAATTTTTTTTTCTCAAAAAAGTTTATAAGGACATCCGTAATGAGTTGGGGAACCTTCACATATACTCAAAACATTTGTTTGACGACCATTTCCAGATTTACAAGGCACTTTTTAAGAATCGCCCAAATATCTTATTTTTTGACGCTCGGAGCACCCAAAAACTTTTACTCAAAAACTTCATGATCACCTCTGTAATGTGTTGGGTAACCTTTACATATACTCACACCATTTTTTTATGCCCATTTCCGCATTTACAAGCCCCTTTTTAGAATCGCTCAAATTTCTCGATTTTTCGTGTGTATTATCCCATGGATCTAGCACCCAACAGTTTTTTCTAAAAAACCTTTTTGAGGACCTCCATAATGAGTTAAAGAATCTTCACGTATACTCACCCTATATTTTTTAGGCCCATTTCCGCATTTATAAGCTCCCTTTTAAGAATCACCCAAATTTCCCGATTTTTCGTGTGTATTAGCCCATGGATCTGGCGCCTGGAGCACCTAATTTTTTTTCTCTCAAAACCCTTTATGAGAACCTCCATAGTGAATTGAGGAACCTTCACGTATACTCACACCATTTGTTTGACGCCCATTTCCGTATTTACAAGCCCCTTTTTTTTTAAATTGCCCAAATTTTCCAATTTTTCGTGTGTTAAGCCCATGGCTCTGACGTCTAGAACACCCAAACATTTTTTTCTCAAAAAAATTTGTGAGGACCTCCGTAATGAGTTGGGGAACCTTCACATATACTCACACAATTTTTTTTGTCGCCCATTTCTGCATTTACAAACCTCTTTTTATGAATGGCTAAAATTTCCCTATTTTTCGAGTGTATTAGCCCACGTACCTAGCGCCCGGAGCACCAAAACTTTTTTTCTCAAAAAAATTCATGAGGACCTATGTAATGAGTTGGGGAACCTTCACGTATACTCACACCATTTTTTTTATGTTTATTTCCACATTTACAAGCCTCTTTTAAAGAATCGTCAAATTCCCCGATTTTGTGTATGTATTAGACCATGGATCTGGTGCCTAGAGCACCCAAATTTTTTTTTCTCAAAAAACATTATGATGACCTCTGTAAAGAGTTGGGAAAATTTCACGTATACTCACACAATTTTTAAGTCCATTTCCTCATTTACAAGCCTCTTTTTAAGAATCTTCCAAACACCCTAATTTTTCGTGTATATTAGGCCATGGATTTGGCGCCTGAAGTACCCAAACTTTTTTTCTCAAAAAACTTTATGATGACCTCCGTAATGAGTTTGGGAACATTCACATATACTCACACCATTTTTATGCCCATTTCCACATTTAAACGACACTTTTAAAGAATCGCCCAAATTCCCCAACTTTTCGTGTGTATTAGCCCATGGATCTAGCGCTCAGAGCATCCAAAATATTTTTCTCAAAAAACTTTATGAGGACCTCCATAATGAGCTGGGAACCTTCACGTATACTCACACCATTTTTTTGTCGCCCATTTTCGCATTTGCAAGCCCTTTTTTAAGAATAGCCCAAATACCCCGATTTTTAGGTGTATTAGCCTATTGATATGGCATCCGGAGCACCCAAAATTTCTTTCTCAAAAAACATTATGAGGAAGGGTAAAGAGTTGGGGAACCTTCACGTCTGCTCAAACTAAATTTTTGACGCTCATTTCTGCATTTACAAGCCTCTTTTCAGTAATCGTCCAAATTCCCCAATTTTTCGTGTGATTAAGGCCATTGATTAGGTGTCCATAACAACCAAATTTGTTTTCTCGAAAACCTTTATGAGGACCTCCATAAGAGTTGGGGAACCTTCAAGTATACTTACACCATTTATTTACGCTCATTTCCGCATTAACAAGTCTCATTTTAAGAATCGCCCAAATTCTCCAATTTTTCGTTTGTATTAACCCATGGATCTGGCGTCCGGAGCACCCAATTTTTTTTTCTCAAAACACTTTTTGAGAACCTCCGTAATTAGTTGGGAACCTTTACGTATATTCACACCATTTTTTTGGACGCCCATTTTCGCATTTACAAGCCTTTTTTTAAGAATCACCCAATTTTCACGATTTTTCGTGTGTTAAACCCATGGATCTGGCGCCTAGGGCACCCAAAAAAAAATTCTGAAAAAACTTTATGAGGACCTTCGTAATAATTTGGGGAACCTTCACGTATACTCACACAATTTTTTGACACCCATTTTCACATTTACAGGCCCATTTTTAAGAATATCCTTAATTCCCTGATTATTCGTATGTATAAGACCATGGATCTGGCGCCTAGAGCACCCTAAATTTTTTTCTCAAAAAACTTTATGAGGACCTCTATAAGGAGTTGGGGAATCTTCACGTTTATTTACACCACTTTTTTGACACACATTTCCGCATTTACATGCCCCATTTTAAGAATCGCTCAAATTTCTCAATTTTTAGTGCGTATAAGCCCATGGATCTAGTGTCCACAACACCCAATTTTTTTTCTCAAAAGACTTTATGAGAACTTTCATAATGAGTTGGCAAACCTTTATGTATACTCACACCATTTGTTTGACGCTTATTTCCGCATTTACAAGCCCCTTTAGAATCTGCCAAATTTCCTGAATTTTCGTGTATTAGCCAATGGATTTGGCACCAGGAGAACTCAATTTTTTTCTCAAATAACTTAATGAGGACGTCCGTAATGAGTTGAGGAACCTTCATGTATACTCACAACATTTTTTTGACGCACATTTCCGCATTTACAAACCCCCTTTTTAGAATTGCCCAAATTCTTCGATTTTTCGTGTGTATTAACCCATGGATCTGGCGCCCGGAGCACCTAAAAAATTTGTGAAAACCTCCGTAATGAGTTGGGAAACCTTCACATTTACTCATACCATTTTTTTACGCTCATTTACGCATTTAAAAGCCTTTTTTTAAGGATCGCCCAAATTCCCTAATTTTTAGTGTGTATTATAGTCCATAGATCTGGTGCCCGGAGCACCTAAATTTTTTTCTCAAAAAACTTTATGAGATCCTCCATAATGAGTTGGGA